TAAACTTTAACATTCAGATGAAGTTTTTAAATATTTATACAAATTTAAAAGCATGACCATCTTGTTTTCATTTCCCTCCACTTTGCTTTAATGATTTGAGGAAGTAGAAACACTTTTGCATCAATCCTGTTGAAACTTTCTAAGTGAAATATACTTTATACTGAATGAATTCATGCATTCACGATCATCAAATTGAAAGTTAACTGCTTATGAACCTACCGTCAACCTTTTTACTAATTAATAGGTATAAAATGATGCTTCTGGTAAATAAACATGTGTAATGCAATTCAAACAGATTTAATGTGTTGTGTCAAATCATTCATATTCGTTAGTACGCAGACATTGTATACATAAGCATCAGATAAATTGCAGAATACATATATTCATAGAAATAAACATGTAATTTGAGAATATACATTATAAAATAATATAGCTGGAATAATAAGATGAAAAAAGTGAATACATAGTTGCACATTATAGTAATTTACTAAGACTGTAAATTTAAAAGGAAGTAGCACAGAAATAATAATAATAATAATAATGTAGATGCAACAATCCCTTCTGCATGGCGCAGGGTTGAGCATTTTTTGTTTTATATCACGTACTAAACACATTCATTGCATTATAAAAGCTAAAAATAAAATTTCTTACATAGAATTAAAGATCATTGTAGTTGTTAGAAAAGGAACAGAGCTGAGTTAAATAGGTGTAAGTCTTACATTAATACCAGTAATAGATCTTAGAACTTGTATAGTTAATTTTCTATTTGCTCTATTTATTCTCTCTTTTTAAAGTATTTCATACAATAAATAAAAAGAATCGCGGATAAACTTATTAGCTGTTATATTGAACGCAAATCCCATAAATTATTGCTTTTGAATTATCATCAATTTTTATTTGTGATAGTATAATTTTTAATCAAGCACACTTTATTCAATTGTAAGAATTATACGTTTACAGTTTTTTTTGTTTAAATACAATATCATCAATAAATGCTAAACGTCCATAGGTTTGATTTAAGTATATCTGAAAGAAACATGCTTTTATCGGAAGCTAATAGATCGATTACCAATGCACATGCATAAATTCAGTTCAAAATTTAGAACGTCGCAACACTTTTTGTTTGTCACATAACTTTGGGAGAACACAATCAGTTTGTACTTGTATATAATTATTATGTATAAGATACATACTACATTTTGTATAGATTGGGATAATATCTTTAAGCCATTTTTTACATTTTAACATTCATAAAAAAAGTACTCCGATAATTGTGGATTATGCGTGTGTTTGGTTTTTAACTTTCACATGCTTCCTTGTTTTTATACATTCGGTATTATGAAATTATTAAGTTATGCATATTGAAGACAAGCATTTGCAAGACCTGTACTTGTACAGATATTGCTGAAGCGTAAAAACAATATGCCTTGAACTGATATTATGTCGCCTCATTATAAGAAAAGCTAGAGAAATAAAGTGATGTTATTATATTTAAAGAGTTTTCTATCATTTTTTACATTGAACTTCAATAACGCAAAACAATAGGCAAAACTAATGATTAATTTTAAGGATAACGAGCAATTTACGTTTCTGTTAAATTTTTTTAAATAAGCTATAGAAATAATAGAGTTTTTTTATAAATGAAATGATACCTATAAATATGCAATTCTAGAAAGTTTGTATTCAAAATGAACACAGTAATTGTGGTGATTGTCAATATGTCTATATGTGGGCTATGTATCGAAAATTGTTTATTAATATTTTTTATAATAATTATTTAAATAGTTTACCTGCCATCGAACTTTTAATTTAAAAGTTATGTAAAAAGCTTTACATTTACAAATCTCTTCGTTTAATATATCAAACTTATCTAGTACAATTCTTATTACACGCGTTCCTCTTGAACGCTGAACACCTAAATCACAAGTATTGTTTTTGACACGTTGGACAATATTAATAAAAGCTTACAATTATATTACATTCATCGTGTTTCTCTCTTCTCCTTTCAATAATATTAAGATGAATGTATATTCTTTATTGAAAAATATTTTCACTCGCATTATATGTAAATTATATTTAAAGAAAAATATTCTTCGAATGAACAATAAAAGACAGTTATGAAATTACTGATTTAGAAATACCTGGTTAATTATAACTGAAATTGCATGCTTTAATAAACGTTATTATAAAATGGTGAAAAATTATAAAATAACATTAGGATGCTATTTCATCCTAATATTGTAAGGTACGCACATATGTATATTTACCTATATAATATTTCTCATATATTGATAACCATTTAAAACAGTATATAATAATTTTATTCTATTTATTGTACTTTTTTGTTTTTTACTTAACGAGTTTTCAATATTATAAATAATTAAAGTAACATAAAATAAATTATAACTTCATTCCTGCATCTAAATCGAAAAGCTGTGTCATGATTTCATATGTTGTAAAAGTAACCGACATCATGGGAACAGCACGTAAATAATTGATACTCATCCCACGATAAAGACCCTTTGTAATGCCGTTTTCTCGGTATATCTTTATTATAGTTTTTAACATGTTATTACTAAAAAAACAAAATTACAATATCATCATATTACATAAATAATTATTTAATAAACATGTTTACCTGAATTCATGTGTAGTGGGATTCATCATAGCCAGTTGCATACGCTTTTTAGTTACATCTAAAGGATAACAAACACTTTGAGCAACAGCTCCTGCCATACCTCCGCACACTAATCTTGCTGGTATAGTTAAAACTAATCCACCTGTTGTAGAAGAATATTTTCAGAAAATGGTTAAACATAAACAAATTTTATATTAAAATCTTTGTTATGAGAACATTATGCGTATCGTACCAGAATTTTTATCAGACGTTTTACAAAGGTAGTCCGGAGCATGTGCCATACATAAATATTTAAGTTTTTTAAATATATAAAACGACAATCCTCCATATGGAATAATGGCAATAACGTTTGGCCAAAATCCCCTGTACAATGCTTGAATACCACCTTCCTGAAAAACTTAACAAATTCTAAAAAGAGAATTCTTTGTGCATACAATATGGATGTTATTTAAGGTATGTTAATTCCGTACAAAAGTATGTGTGCTAATGAAACTTGAGATACGTTGATCGTGTTAATACGTTTTCAACTTATCTAATATTGTATCTTTGATTATATGTATTGGGACAGATGTGCTTTCTAAACATGCACTTTTTTGCATGTTTAAAAAATGTTCGCTACGAATACGTAAAATTGATATTACCTTCTTATAAATTATAAATCCTGCATTGATAATTCCTGTGTATATGTGTTCTCCAGCAACTTGAAAAGCAAGCCTAACTCTAATGGTGTCTAACGGATATGTTAGTGTGACTGCTGTAACACCGGCAGCTGATCCAGCCAAAAAGTCATGTGAAAGTGCATACGTTTTTGGTAATTTGACTAGCCACTAGTAAAAATGAAATATATCTTAATAAAAGTTTTGTATATTTATCAGTATATATTTTTTTAAACAAATATACGTCCTTTTGCTTATTTCGTCATAAGTTACAGTCTCCCTATTATTGTCATAGAATGCCAAATAGATCGTTATACGTAATGTCAGAAATATTTATGAAATTGAAATACGACGTTATTTCGTTTTAATTAAAATGAGAAAAACTTGTGACCTTCTTCAAAAAAAAAATAGACAAATCAATCATTGTCTTTAAAACTGTTGATCTTTTATAAGGTTCACTTATTGTTTTACTCATTTATATATATATATATATAAATATGCACTATTGTTCAGAATTTCATAAAAAAGTGAAGCAGTTCAACCATTACAATCTGAATAGTTATTATTAGATTTGATTGGTTATCGATTAAAG